GTCTAACTGCAGGTTGACAGGAATATCTGGCGTAGGTCTCCTGTGTACACTGCCACCAGGGCTAATTTTAGTCAATCGCAGGTTGAGCAACCGTGGTAATGAGGCTGCGTACTGCCATCCTGCTGTGATACAGAGCTTAAAAAGGCTTCGAATGGGCTTTGATGTTTGTTCTTGCAGACGTTCCTTGAATAAATGAGGCTGGTAATGCATCTGAGTTTGTGTAAATGGGTTTGTGAGCTTGGGTTTACTTATTATTTTACCATTGAATACAAACGTTACTCCTACAATTGTGTCTAACATTGATAGCATAGTGCAAGTACCTTTAAGACAGGCTCTTGAAGTGCTTCTAAATGAGGATGTTATCTCTTGCAGGACGCTGAATTGAAGACCAAAGAGAAGTACAAACGAACAGAAGATCGGTTCTATAAGCTTGGTGAGTTATTACATTCATGGTCAAATCAGCAGTTTTGCACTTGAAGCAAATGATTGTTGTGCCTTCCTTGCAAATAGAAGAAACCAGTGCACTGTAACTCTTTATAACAGTGATGGCACTTATTTAGCAAATGCTCAGCACATTTCTCTTTCTGCCTGAGAAAGTATTTCATTTAAAAACAATAAAAAAATATATTTTTTTAGACCCTGTGTTGTATATATGCTTGTATATATTTTGTTATAAAAACATGATTGACACTAAGTTTTTTTTTTGTTTCTTATGCTTAGCAATGTCTTAGCACATTTATTTGATCAAAACTACAGTAAAAACAATAATAATGTGAAATATTATGACAATTTAAAATAACTGTTTTCTATTTTAGTATATTTTAATATATTTTTCTTTTAGAAATGATTCTAATATGCTGATTTGTTGCTCTTATGTTAAATTATAAATGACTTTACTGTTAATTTTGATAAATTTAATGCATCTTTGCTGAATAAAAGTGTTTTGGGAAGAAATTAATACTGACCCCAAACTTTTGAACAGTAGTGTAGGTCCCAGTAGGACTTGCACTTTCAACACAAAAAGATATAAAGAAACATATGTGTGTATATATATATATATATGTATATGTGTGTATGTAATGCACAGACAGTATACACCATTACAATCTTGATGAAACTGTAAAGACACACGTCTTCCGTCAGTTAAACCACAGTCAACATCTCTCATTCTTTTTTTTTTCCACTGCATTTTTTTTCCTGTACTGCTCTCTAGCTTACTCTCAAAACACAACATTGTTGTTTTTGCGAGTATTGTTCTCTTATGATGAATTGCTTCTGAGTTTCTTTATTTGTAAGTCCCTTTGGATAAAAGTGTCTGCCGAATAACTGAATGCAAAATGTTACAATCACTTCTGGTCTCCCCTTTTAGAATTACAAATATTTTTTTCTTTCCTTTGTGTCTGTCTTTAGCTCAGTTTGAGAAAGGAGTGGCAGAGGGGACGGTTGACCCTGCCTTCAACCCTGTGGTGGCTGTTCGGCTAAAGGTCCAGAAGGACTCCGCCGTGTGGGCCATTATTAGCGAGGTCTGCTTGCTGCCTTTGGTTCAGGCCTGTTTAGGGCTGGACAGTATCATAGTATATGGAAGAAGAGATTTTGCTATGCTGTTACTGTTGTAGGTTGCATTTATTATATTAGTCATTAGTTTTGTTTGCTGCATATGTGATGCTCTTTTTGCACTGATGCCAGACTTATTTATTTATTAATAATCTTATCTTAGGAAATGCATCAGGAAAGAAATTTTGTAATAAATAAAAGAAATATCTTTAAGTATCTTTAATACATTTAGATTAATTAAATGTCTTTAATATGGAAATACCTTTAATTTGTAAATTATTTAATTATAGAGTTATTCATAAATGGTCAATACCATGTGATTATTTGATGCATAAACCATTTTTTTCTCCATTGAATTTCCAGCACAAACAACTATATTGTTATATACACCACTCCTGAGATACGAAATGACTCATTTGTGACCCTGGAGCACAAAAGCAGTCTTAAGTCGCTGGGGTATATTTGTAGCAATAGCCAAAATACATTGTATGGGTCAAAATAATTGATTTTTCTTTTATGCCAAAAATCATTAGGATATGAAGTAAAGATCATGTACCATGAAGATATTTTGTAAATGTCCTACCGTAAATATATCAAAAC